TGCGGCAGCCCCGACAGTGAGGACGAGCTTGCCCATGGCAGCCAGGTTTTCGGGGGCCATGGCGTGCACATCGGGCGCTCCTCTGGTGACGGAGGACCCGACCTGCCACACCTGGTTCACCACCTCCATCCCCTTGCCCAGCTGCAGCGTGGCGTACAGCCGGATCCTCCCGCCGCTGCCCACGTCGGCGGCGAGGCCGTCGGCGGGGAACGCGATGGGCGTCGAGGCGGCGCCGACCGCGTAGTAGCTGGTGATGTTGTAGGTTCTGACGGTGGGCGTGGACGCGGACGAGGAGGCGCCGCCAGCGACGAACGCCAGCAGCGCCTGCGTGCCCACCATGCCGTTGCCGCCAGTGGGGTTGATGCCCCAGGCCACCCACCCGCCGGGCGCTGCCGGCACGGCCACGAACGCCAGCGACAGCGACGGCCCGGACGCGTCGTCGTAGTAGGTCCAGTGCAGCGCCGCGCCGAGCTGTGGGAGGTCCTGGCACGTCACGTAGGTCTTCCCTGATGGGAAGACCTCACTGGTGCACGCGGACATGGCGGCCGGCAAGGCCAGAGCGAGCAGGAGCACCACGAGCTGGTGCACCGTCGCCGAAGCCATGAACAGTTGAAGCTGATCCCCTGACTACTTGTACTTGAGCAGCCGCCTCTGCTTCTGCTAGGTGCTGCTCTGTTTTACTACTAGCAAGTGGAGGATTAATTCGACTGGATCAGGCGTAATAATGCTGTGGCGACTTGCGACGTCCAATGAAAGTATCAAAGGTTGGTTAATGGATATGTGATGGACAAACTTCCATGGAATGGAAGAGCAGTGAGTACCCGAGACGTTGACACTGGCGTCAACACGAGCTCGAAAGGATTCATCTTTTTGCCAACCAAACATCATGCCTGGAGAATGGTCTACTTTGGTGGACGCGTGCAACGGGTTGCCGGAGACGTGAGTATTACGGGTGCCGTCAGATTTTAAATGTCTCTCCATCTCTCTAAAATATCTCCCCATCGCTTGCTGCTGCGTCTTGCGCTCGCTGCTGCCATCTTCCCCGCCGTGCACCCCATCTCGCGCTGCAGCTCCTCTAGCGTCGCGCTCCATCCCCCGCTACGCTTGCTCCAGCTCGCTGCGCGCTGCGCACCGTGCCCGTGCCCCGTCCTCCGTGCGCCGAGGTGCTACTGGGGTGCTGCCGTGGTGCCGCCGCCGCCGCCACCGTTCCCCACCAGAAGGTCGTGGCGTCGACACCGTGGCCGCTGCGATGCGCGACCTCTGCAAGAAGATGTTGCGATGAAAGCGCATGTTGCAAATATATGTTTCAAGTGTTTCAGACATTTCAGAGGTATGTTGTAATTGTTTCGTATGAATGTCGCAAAAGTTGATCGGGAATATTGCACATGTTGTATATGTTGAAAGTGCTTCAGAGGCATGTTGGAAGTGTTTCAGAGGCAAACATTCTGATCTGGATGTTGCATATGTTTTACACATATGTTGCAACAATATATTCCAAATGTTTTAGTTGTTTGAATCTCATGTTGCAATAAGTGTTTTCTTGTCACAAGTTGCAAGTGTTTGATCTGGATGTTGCATATGTTTCACACATATATTGCAAGTGTATATTCCAGATATTTCATCTGTTGCATACGTATGTTGCATTCAAGTGTTTCATTTATACATCTTTCATGTTGTTTGGAGAGTTAGGGACACGGGGAGTGATGGTAGCATGGCATGGGCACCGGGGAATGGGGCGTAGCGAGCTGGAGGTCATGGTGCGCGGCGCGCCGGTGTCCTACGGACGGGGGGGAGGGGGCGCTCAGGGCCACGATCGGGGCGCGACTACGGGGTGGGCGAACTGCCTCGAATCGAGGCAGATAGGGCAGGCTGCGAGTGCGCCTGTCCGGATGCCCGCGCACTAGCACCTCCCATTGTAGTTTTGTCCATAGTTAAATTTGTCTAATTTGATCAAATTTATAGAAAAAAAAATATTGATATCTAAACTACAGAACAAATACACTGTCAAAATATATTTCATTGTGGAAATCTAGTTTATTGTTGTATATGTTTGAGTATTTTTCTATAAACATGATTAAAGATGGAGAAAATTGATTTAGGAAAAAACTAAAATGACTTATAGTTGGGATGGTGGGACTATTTTCGGATTATATCTTCTTTGTTAGTATATTTGTTCCTATAGTTCATCAATTGGAATGTTGTGGCATATGTGTTCAAAAATAAAAATAAAAATAAAAAGTCAAAAAATAAGCTTCGCATTCCTCAACTGATATAATCAAGGAGTTGCACCTAGACTAGGCAACAAGTCGTGGTAATAAATAAGTAAATAACAGTGTCCTCGTTACAATTTATAGCACGAATGTCAGACGTCAATAGAGATTAAGCCATTAAGGCATTGTTTGTTTCCACTTTGATAGCAGATCGTGGGCTGTGAAAAATCTATAATTAATTTGGATTATAACATGTGAGGTTGTTTGGCATCCTGGATTGTTGGATGGTTAGATTCCCGTCTTTTGTTGTCAAATATTTTTAGTACATTCGTGTTGTGAGCCAAGCTATTAGGACCGGACCGGAGATCGAACCGGCGAGGCTGTCGGTTCACTGGTTCACTGGTCCAACCGTTTAGAACCGGTTGAACCGCCGGTTTAATTGTTTTGGACCGTTGAATCAAACCGGCCAGAAATATAATGAACCGATGTATATATATATATATATATATATATATATATATATATATGATATAATTAATAATTTATAGATGGTAAACAACACAAATTAATTGTTCAACCATAAGATTCATACATGCAAATTAATTCAAAACATCAAGTGTGAGAATAATCTCATTGTGATAATTCAAAACATAATAAATAGAATAGTAATTGAAATATTCACAAATCACAAATGCAGAACAATCTCAAATGCTAAATATAAGTGCACCATTGCAAAGAGCTCGTTGTGGTAATCAAAATAGATATATTATTTGTCTAATTTGGAGCTAGTATGAAAAAGATATGAAAATTTGAAATTTATATATTATACATATTATTTAATATATGTATTATATATTTCATTTGGTGACGTCACAGCCACCAAAATTCAAACGGGACACACATCCTCTCCAAAGCGTGATGCGTGAACACCATGTTTAACATAACCAAAGGGGGCAGCAGCTGACGCATACCCACAAAGATGTGGCACTGTATCAGCGATTTAGCAGTCTGCAGTGACACACGCCGACTACCAAAGATCGACTTCGGCGGGTTCGCATGGAGCCTTGGTTCGCCAGAAAACCGGCGGTTTAACCGTTTTAGCGGTTCGATTGCATAGACGGTCTTTTAAGTGAACCGGACCGTCTAAGCTCTGGTTCGGTCTTTTAGCGGTCCAACCGCCGGTCCGGTCCGGTCTGAATAACTAGGGTTGTGAGTGTATCTATATATTTTGAAACGTTATTTGTTCCAATAGAAGATAGAAGAGGTATAGATAGAGATCTATGATCATAATAAGATTCTAATAAAATATTTCTAGTTTAATTACTTTTTAGATCCCAGGAATCTATTTTACCATTGCCACCAGAAACCTACTTTAGTTACAAAGTATATTTATGTTTTCTTTATAATTGAGATTTGAGAGTCGAGACACGGCTGAATTGATAGACGTTACGTGTTCATTCATATATATACAAGCGTTGTATGGGTCACCACCACTTATTTTTGGATCTTAGAGCATCTCTACAGATTGAGAAAACAGATCTCTTCTCAATTGACAAAAAACATCCCTCAATCTCTCAAAGAAAAGGGAGAGCAATTCATCCCTTTCCACAAGCTAGTGAGTATGTGAACTTTAAACTTTGGACAAACTTAAACACATGATTCTTCGAAGCCCTATGTTATGTTGGTTCCATTTGATAACCGAGTATTTTAGATCTATGTTAAATTCAAACCAATTTTCCAAATTTTCTGGACCAACCCACCCTTTTTTGAGTAAGGGTAAGTAACTCGATTGCATGGTATGTGCTATGAAGGTGCACAATAGAGAGGGAGTAGAAAAGGGTGCAATATATTGGAGGAAGGGTGTCAGCTTAACATTGATAGGAACCTGACACTTTAGTATATAATAAATAATAAATAATAAATTTATACATTGGGTCTTTTATTTGCTAGTAGAGCACCCTATGACTGTCACACTCACACCTTGTACCTTACTAAGAAAATAAACATTGGCTGCGTTCGGCTGGTACTAAAAAAAAAGTACTGCACACAGCTGGAAAACACTGTTCACGGATGATTCCTCACACAAATTCTCCTCCCAGATTCATCCAACGAACGGGGCCATTACAGCAGCCGCAAGGTGTAAGGAGCTGCTGATCTATACCAACAAAATGTTAGACCGTGGAGAAATGACATGACAGTCTGAATTCCCAAGTAACCGTGGCTCGCGACTGCTCAAATTCATAACACACGTAGGTCGATTAATGACCATGCAACATATTGGATGACAAAATAGTGTAAGAATGACATGATAACCAGTCCAAGATCTTCTGGACAACAATATTTAATAGGACACGCAAACTTCAATCTGTACAATGGCACTGAAGTTCTGCTACTGTTTCTGTCCAAAAAAAATTATAATAAAGGGCAACATCGCAACAAACTCAAGGGTGCAATGCAATATCATACCCAGTTGAATACCTACTAAATTGTTGGGAAAGTCTGCTTCCAAATTTCATATCACCACGTTTGCAGCAAACATTCAGTACACAAAGGCGATATCACATAAGAGCATTGCACTATCTAAATTTTTCCCTGCTCTAAAAACATTACAGCTATATCTGCAATTATGCTGAGGGGTCTAACAAGAAGCACAGGAAATAAGAGATCTTGTTAACAGCTGAAATCTAAAGCAATAATCAAATTGAATACTATGCTGACTACACTAAAGGGCACATCGACAGAAAACAAGGTATTGGTTATGTCAGAAGGGATTAGAAGGACCAGGTTCCTTCATGGATTAATGTTGCATTCCCGCAGGAAAGATTGGTCATAATCCAGATACTTGGACCAGTAGCTCCGGAACTTGGGCAGGCCAATCTCCAGCCAGGGCTTCATGTTGCCATTGTAATGTATGACCGCAGCACGCTCAATGTCTCTGCTGTTTACATGGGGATTGTAACCTAGACCAAGAACATGCCATGACCGGCTGAGGGGAAATGTCTTGTTCCAGAATGTGATCAAACCCGGAGGGAGTGTACCAAGTTTCCAGAGCGATCTATCTTCATTCTGCAAAAAGATTAAAAAAAAGAGAGGAATCAACTTAAAACTACTCAGTACTGAATCATAATCAGTGCATGTAACCAAAGTTCCCATGAAAGAAGACAAACAGAATAGAATCAAATATATTTGAGTGAATATAAGTTATGAAACAAAGTTTTCTACATTATTTAAAACAGAGAAAAATTGTTCAAAAATATTTATATACATTCTCTATAGAAATTATGGTCCCAAATCTTTTCTTGAGTTTTAATGTCCTCATAATGTAAGCTTAATGCTGAATGCAGAAATCACAAAAAAAAAAAAAAAAAAACTGCAACACAATTAATATCTTCTCTGGTGGCACAGTATAGACTAACACTCCGCAGAATATATGGTTCAAATCATTGTGGGTATTTCCAGTGCATCCTTTCTAGGTATAAAACCCAAGAAAGTTCTAGTTTACTACTGAACCCTAACACAAACAAACACTGCTACTCACAATTGCAGCACAGTTAATTTCTTTTTCATGAACATGTATGAAAAAATGAGAAAAATGAGCTGACATAAATAACCCAGTGTGACAAGGGTGTGAGAATCTTACAAGCTTCTGCCACAAGTGATAGACTTGTGTTATGTTCTGCCGCCTCCATTCAGCCAGGTCAAACACATTCATTCCAAAAGCCCAACCACAAGCATGCGGGTCAAAACTCTTGGCGATAATAGGATTTGAAAAATTCAGGTATTGATCATAGCGATGGAAATTCTCTCCACAAGTCTCAACAGCACCATTTATCTTCCCCTTCATATTGATTGACCAAAGGCCAGTCAGATCCTTCTTTACTACTATGTCATCATCAAGAAAGACCATCTTGTCAAGCTTTGGATAAATCTCAGGCAGGTAAAAACGCAGATGATTAAGGATTGACAGGTACTTTGGGTTTCGATATTTCAAGTTTGAATCTGACTTTGCACGATTCGTTCCGAAGTAGTAATCAATCATGGATTGGGACCCAAGTTGTTTGAGTACTGGACTGTAGTTGTCATTTAGCCATGTGAACTCCCCAATATGCTGTACTTCAATTGTTGCTTTCCCCGGAGGATTAGAGAGGAACCACATTCTCATTGGAGCATAATTCAGTTTGTCAGTTACTATGTGGAAAACATGATCAGAAGGATGCTGGAAACAATAGTTCCACTCAGTATGATGCCATCATTCAGTTAAAAGTCAAATATAGAACCATATACTAAACTTACATACCTTAGCATTTAACACTGTCGAATTAACAACAACCGCTGTTGCTAGTATATTATCCGAGAACAAGGCATAATGATACAGTTTTGGGTTAATGAGTTTTTGTTGGTTTGGGAACTGCTGCCGAACAGGATCCAATGAAAAGTATTCATTAGCTAGTCTCAGGGGGAGGCAGTGAAGACCTTTAGGAAGGGTTTTAGCTGCAAGTTGTGTCAGAAAAACAGTCTGCTTTTTGTGTGCATGCAGCTGCTCCTCTGCTGAATGAAGCATAGCTCGAAGCTTTTTGACAACAATAGAACAATCATCCTGCATCTGTTTTCCCTTAATCAGCATCTGTTCCAGTGCTTTAACCTTCTCATTTGCACTGAACAAGTAGATGAAAATGTTACTGCATCCAACTGATTCCTATGCACAACAAAATGCTATAATATGTAGCAAGTCAGCAGAACTAATGAGAGCCTTACTTCTTTGGTAGATCAGAGTCCTTGGATGCATCACCAAGCACCTTTTGAACTTCTCGTATCCTCTGTCGTAAGTCTTTAAGATACTGGGAATTCGCTCTAATGGATCCAAGACCAAGGTAGACCTTCGCCTTGATTAACTGATCCTTGATATTTCGGATCCGCACATCAGGTAAAACAGTAATTTTAGTTTTACCATCTGTTTTAGCTGATCGGAAGTTCTCCATTATAACCTTTGCAGGTGACTGTTTAGGCATAGTGTCCTGTGAACTTTCCTGTAAATAGGTCATGCGATAAGGTCATAGATCCATCAAAAACTATGAAAGTAATTTTCTACCAAATAAAATACAACATACTATGGCAAAAGATTAAGGTGTAAGTGATTGGCTGATTGCAGTATGTAGACAAATATTTTACAATGTAAACGAAACAAAAGAGGAAAATATTGACTAAATGATTGGGCATCATGGCTTCTTGAGTATGAGACCATGCCTGTTTGGTTTATTTGGTCAGAAACTGCAACTTTCCTATTGGCACTAAATTTGAGGGAATATTTGGATGATGTTCTACTTTAGATAAGCCACAAAGTGGGGCCTTAGTTCAAGCTTTTAGCATTACTTGCAAAGCTGATACAAGAATCCCAAGTTAAGTGATGATTTAACATATTAGAAGGAAAAGAATATTGGGAGGCAAAACTTGGGGGCTAGTATAAGCATGTGAACGAAAAAAGAATGAAGCCAAACCACCAAGATTCCAGAACAGTTGCATTTTTCACGTAGTGCCTCATCTGTACCTCAAGAATGAAACAAACAGGGCTGAGCTAATCATGGACCAATGCAAACGTGGATGAACTACAACTCAATGAATCCCTAGCTGACAACTGGACGAGAACAACTCCGCCACAGCTGTAGTTCATATTGTAAAAGGGATTGATGCAAACTTGTTCATTAAGAATCGACAGAGAAAACAAAGAGAGCCCCATCATAACATTTAGTACACATTGAACTTGTGATGTAAGTGCGCGGAGCCACTCAAAACTCCACACCAGAATTTATTGGTTAAGTTTAGTCACGACAAACTAATACTTTAACCCATTTACATAACCCTCAGAATATTTAACCAGACAAAACAAGTGTATTCCTCATAACATAAATTGCCGAATAACATTAGAATTAATTTTGACATGCTGTGCCAAGAAAAATGAAAGATATCACAACCCTCCAGCAGCCACAACATTTTTTTATAAAAAGCACTAATAGGATTGGGCACCATGGGGTTAGGTGCAATAAGTGCAGATAGACATCACCTACCAACCGATTTCAAAGCTTGGTCTTAACTCCAATAATGCAAATGACAATTCATGGTCCCAAATCTCACAAAACTAATCCTCAGGTGACAACTCAACTAAAATTTGTAAATACCAACCTCAGAAGAAGATTGCTGCTGTGATCCAATGTTTTTCTCCTGCTCATCTGAAACGCCTGCTCCCTTCACCAAGCCGCCATCCTGTGCTTCCAGCGTCGTCACTTGCTTGATCACTTCATTAGCTTTCAATGCGGTGCCATCAGCAGCAACCGTCACTTCAGAGAGCACGCGGCTCTTGTGCTCCCCTACTTTCGTCAATGGCAAATCTACACACAGTTTATGTGCAATCGGTCTTAGACAAACAATGAAAATGGAAGTCTTGAACTGCTTAATCTCCTCCGAAACCACGTTTGCACCAACTTTACAAACACAAGAACGAGTTCCTTCGAAACAACAATGGTGAATTGGTGATCAATGTACCTTGGCTCTTAGACTCAGTCAGTTCCTCTGAGAAGACAATGCCGACAGGTTCTTTCAAAGAGCTCACGGTTTCCTGCATCCAAAGGAAACGGAAATCCGTGACTAATTGCCCCTCTGACCAAGAAAAAAATCCCAAAAAGGTGGGCCGCGATTTACCAGAGAAAGTGCATTCAGCTTGTCTGCCTTGCCGCCACGGCCCTACAACGACATTTAATAACCAATAAACATAACCATCAAGATCCAGAGAAAAATCCCCAAGGATCTCAAATCCACCGAGGAAAGCCCCCCCCCCCCCCAAAAAAAAAAACCACTCACCTGATTCGTGATTTCTCCAGGAAAATCCCGCGTTTCTGCAAAAATGGGGCAGCAAAATCGTTAAGAACCCTAACACCAACAAGAAAACGCCCAAGTAGGGAGTCAAATCTTGTACAGATCACGCAGAGGGAGGGAGCGCTTACGGATGGGGTTAAGCGCCGCGGGGAGGCGGCTAGTGTAGAGCGCGAGCGGGGAAAGCACCGTGAGGGCGAGGAGCAGCAGCAGCAGCAACCTCGTCCTCGTCCTCACCATCTCGGCGCTTGGTTTTCCTCGATGAGTTTGTCTGGGCCTTGGGTTCCCCTCAGTCCCTCACTGCAGACATTCCTCCTGCAATCCTGGGCAGACGAGGTGGATGCGGGTACGAGCAGACACGGTGAGGGAGGAAGGCGCCCCGGGTTGCTTCGTGCCTGCACGGACTGCTTCTTGCAGAGGAAGACGAGGACGCCAGCGATGCGCACAGGAGTCGAGGGAGTAGTTGGTCCGCCCAGGATACGATTCTTCCTAGCTAGGGAAGGAGTACGTGCGCGCTGCAGCAGCGGGGGGGGGGGGGGCGGAGGTGTCCACCTCTCCAGATGCGCCGCTCGACGCCGCCACAGAAACCGAGCGATGGGGCGGTGAGTGAAACCGAGGGAGGGAGAGGGAGTCGGGCGATGAAAGGAAATCGCGCGTGAGCCGACGGAGCGTAGGTACGGCGCCGTCCCACTGCCACGGGTAAAAGGGGGACATTTAACTTTTTTACATGGTTACGGATGGCACACCTACGTATTTCTCATTGTAGACAGTAACTCTCTTAATTTATTATTTTTTTTGTTAACATGGCATGCCATGCGGTCAGTCAGCGTGGCAGCGCCTTTCCTCCCGTTGCTGCTTCTCTCTCTCTCCACTCGTTGACATGTGGGCCCCACCAGTCAGGTTCATTTTCAACCTCTGGCCACCGGAGAAGGGGTGAGCATGCATGCGGGAGGGGGACCATGTTCCTGTCCGAAGCAGAGCAGCGTCGTTAGGGACAAGGCATACGCCCAACTCGGATGCCCTGCGCCACGACAAACGAGCCCAATCGACGCAAAGATCGAAAGCAGATGCATATGGTCATTGGTACACAAGCCGCCGCGCAAAGCGTCAGCCGCCGTCGCGCTGCTCTGCTCGCTCCTCGTCCACGCCGCTTTGCTTTCGCCGCATCGTCATCGCCGCCGCCGCCGACCTCCGTGGTGGGCTTCTACCGGTGACCTACCCAGTGCAGAGTCCATCGTTCGTAACGCCACTGGCGCGCGGGTGGCCGTGGACCCAAGCTTGGCGAGCAAGCCGCTGCGGCTCTACTTCCACGATCGCTTCCTCAGGGGTGTGACGCGCGTCGGTCTTCTTTGGACGGCCGGCACGGAGAAGTCGGCGCCACCGAACCGGGCCATTGGGCGGGCGGACGTTGTCGACGCCGCCAAGGCGGCGGCCGGAGGCGGCTTTGCCCGCACCGTCATCATGCGCGGATGTCATGGCGATGGCCGCCGCGACGCCGTCTCCTTCTAGTTCCACCGCCATTGTGGCAAGTCGAGACGGCCGCCGCGACACCCGCTTCTCTCGATGAGGCGCACGCCACGCACCCCCAAACCGAGTTTGTGTTCACGCCTCAGCGCACGCGTCGGAGCGGCGCTATGGGGGCCTATTGTCTCAGCGCGAGGCATCCGAAGTCGGCGCCGCCGCCCCTAACGGCTGCGCTTGCTTTGCACGACAGAACATGGTCCCCCTCCCGCACGCATGCTCGCCCCTTCTCCGGTGGCCAGAGGTTGAAGATGAACCTGACTGGTGGGGCCCACATGTCAGCGAGTGGAGGGAGAGAGAAGCAGCAGCGGGAGGAGAGGCGTTGTCACGCTGGCTGATTGCGTGGCATGCCACATCAGCAAAAATGGCAAAAAAATAGGAGGGTTACTATTTGTGATGGCAAATGTGTAGGTGCCCGTGTAAAAATGGCAAACGAATGAGTGCCATCCGTAACGATGGTAAAAAGTTAAATATCCCGGTAAAAGGGGGCATGCACATGCGCCATCCCACGGGAAAAGGGCAGGCCCATGATTTTAATCCTCCCTCCGTGGATCGTAGCCCACACGAGGTAAAGATGGCGGTGGATACCAGAAATCCGGCTACCAATGTGTTTTACCAGATAAAGAGGAGGGTATGGGAACAATTCTTCACCCACGGGTATACTAATGGGTAAAAATCTCTACCCATCGGATATGCGGGTACGGGTACGGGGACATACTGCCCACATCCGTGTACCCGCGGGTAAATTATATGTGCCTTAGCAACACATATGTATTCATTAATTACTATGAAATACACATATATCTAATATATCTATGACTATTATACTATTAACTAGTGTAGGTTTTTTGCTCTTATAATTGTTGATTTCTATTGACAAAGAATTGACGATATTTGATTATAATAATATAATATATTAATGTTCTTTTGGTTTGTAGCATGTATGTATTAGGATATGGGTTACCCGTCGGGTTTTTTTACCCGCGCGGTATGGGTATGGGTGAAGTCTTCTACCCGTGTGCAGGTATGGGTAATTTAGCGGGTAAAATTTATCTCGCGGGTATGGGTATGGAATAGCAATACCCAACAGGTATATACCCGTTGCCATCTCTACACCGAGGGCGTCCCGCACCCGCAGCCCAAAGTTGGGTTTAGTAGTGTCGGTATGGGAATGAATAGTCCATTTTTGCCTTGCTTGCTGCTCTACACAGGTTGGTTTCCTCCTTGATCTCCAAACCGAATAAACTAGGGGTGTGGCTAGCGCCCAGACATCCGGACACCCGCGCAGCCCGCCCTCATCCGCCTTTGTCCCAACCCTGTCCGCCTTCATCTTGACCCACGCGCGCACTTCGCCATGTCTCTGTGCCTACCGGTCGCCCCTGACCCCTCCTCTCTCTCCATGCGGGCAGCACTCAGGAGCCGAGATGAACAACTGAGGACGAGCACACCCCCAGCACACCCCAACCGTAGCACCACCTTCCGTCGGCCCCCCTAGCGCGCCGCGCGCCTAGTCTGCTCGCCCCCGGCAGTACAACATAAAACACTTGCAACATAAAAATATTTGAATGCAACATACATCTAAAAGTAGATGAAACAATAGGAACACGCACTTGCAACATGTGTGTGAAACACACGAAACAATCAGATTTGCAACTGGCAATATGAAACCACTTGCTACAACATAAGACTGAAATAGCTGAAACATTTAGAACATACTGTTGCAATATATGTATGAAACATATGCAATATCTAGATAAAAAAGACTGCAACAAATGTCTTGAAACAGATGAAACATTTGGAAGAAACGCTTGCAACATGACTCTGAAACACTTGCAACATGTGCAACATCCCCGCATTTTGCAACATCAAGATTAAATAATTACAACATACATCTGAAACGTCTAAAACATTTGAAGCATACGTATGCAACATAGGGGAGGAAAGGCCAGGCCAGTCGATTCCGACCGTCGGGTTGGGAACCGGCAACAAGCTACGGCACATGAGCACCACCAGCGCCGACCACGCTCGTGGGTGCCCTTGGCTCGGCCGGGGAAGACCTGAGCCGCCACGGCACATGTGCCCCAGCGGCCATGGCGGGGCAGCATCGCGCCCAACAGCGATATATGGGCGACGGACGGATGGCGAGGGAGCGAGCGACACTGGTGACTACCATGCAGGTGAGCGGTGCAGGGAGCGAGACACGCGGCATGTCCGGTGATGGGGGGAAGGGAATGGCGCGGTAGCCCGATGAGCGTGCTAGGGATGGGGCGGACGGATGAGCAGCCATGCAGGAGCAACGCTACCATGCAGGTGAGCGCGCGCAGGGAGCGAGGGCGCGCGGCGCGGCCGGTGATGGGGAAAGGAACAGGGGTGGTAGCCAGACGAGCACGCGTTGGAGAAGGGGGGATGGATGAGCAGCCACGATGTTTTGGGGCTGGGCGGATAAGCATGAAGGAGTGGGGTGTGGGCTCAAGAGGGACGGGCGAATAAGCACAAGGGAATGGGGATTTGTTTTTTATTTGGGGCCCACTCCTGGGAACCACATCCTGACATAGAGTCATGAACGAAAGCCCTGCTAGAAGCATTTCCATTTGTTTTTTTTGTTGGGGGCTGCTCCTAGGGAGCCGCGTCCGGAAGCAGAGTCACGAACGGACACCCTACAAGAAGTATTTCTGATAAACTAGCTCCTTAACTCTTAAAACCATTTAGAATATAGCTTTGCACCGAGCAGAGGTGGTTTTTTCAAGGGATTTTATTATTTTTATTAAAAATTTAAAAAAGCTAGTAAATACATGATACAACTAAGCTTTTAAAAAATCAATGAAAAATCATAGCAACATATTGGGGCACGTGAAACTCAAACCAAATATTTAGAGCTCATATGTCATAACAATATCTCTAGAAGCTTCTAAAATTGGATTTAGCTCTACCAAAACGAAAAAAATCAGAAAAAATCCATAAAATTCTAAAACATTAGAATAGTTGATGAGGACATGATACATATGGATACGTTGATAAAAGTTAAACAAGGTGATCCTAGCAACTGAAATTTTCCTTCTCTTCTCAAACAAAACCAGTGTCTTGATGCTGATTGCATCTGCAAGTGAATCCACTGGCATGTCCTTGAACTCTTTGATCCAAGCATTTAAGCACTCAGCAAGGCTGTTGTTTATGTAGTCACACTTGATATCTGGTGAGAACTTGCTTCTTGTCCAGAGTAGTTTACATCCTCTTTTAGCCAAGGTAGTATGCCTGGTCAAGCTTCACTCACCTTGGCAGTGAGTCCACTGGCAATCCCCCTAGCATAATCCAGGCCGGCTTCAACATTAATGACAACAATGTTCAAATCCTATAGCTTCTTCAAATAAGCATTCTACCATTCGTAGAACACACATCTACCAGTTGTTTGGGAAAGGTGCAACAATTAGGGTTCTTCAATCAAAACCAGGAACAATGTGAAAGAAAACTTACATCGGGAACATTTCGAGGGCATTTGAAGAACACACACACTTGTGCTTCTCCTTTATCTTCACCCTCAGCTCGATTACCCTTTCCATCCTGCATCTAGGGCACTGAATCAAAGGGAGCCCAGTCTCTGTCCCCGTCTTTAACTAAGTTCCCGTTCCAAGCTCCTTTGCCCACGACGCCAAGCTCCTTGAAGACGTGGGCTCCATCCTCGGAGGCATTGTGATGAAGGGGAAGGAACAGCCACCATCACC